CTGCATTAAAATGTATCTCGTATCCACATTGTTATCTAGAAAGAATTTTAAACTGGTTACATTTATTAATTCCTGGAATTAATATCTCTCTCTAGTGTCCACATTGAGATACAATTTCTCTGTGCAGCTCAAACAACTGAACGTTATAGCCTCCTCTCGTTTGTTATGAAAGTTTACACTTTCACACAAGAGTTAGTTCAAATCACTTTCAATTCACACAGATTAAAAACAACTAGTTCATGTTCATACTTTACAATTTAGATTAACAGTTAAATAGTTAAATAGTGCAAAGTCCATAAAACATTCATTTCTTCAGTTAAAAAAACTGACATGCTTTAGAAATTGCACTTTAATGCAATGTGCTAAGGGGGTCAATGTAACGCTGCAATTTTAAAAGAATGAATACAAATTTCATATTTTAGAATATTCAATTGGGAACTGACTAAATCACTCTCTAGGTTATGGCAGTACTCAATTTGAATTAAGACATTCACTGAGCTCTGTGACTTCCCAAAGAGAACTCTTAATAGTCACTTCAAAAAGAGGCTCTGGCCCAGGGGGCCCCTGACCCCTGGGGCAACAAGGCTTGGGCCCGGTAGGCCCGTCGTGTCCCATCAGTACTCTATCAGTACTCCATCCATGTTAGGTCGTGCCAGGAGTTTGAAGTCAAAAACAATTGAGGCACACCAATGAGATAGGACGAGAGGAAAAAAGAGAAAGAGAAAGAGAGCTGTCAGTGGAGTGCTGCCTGTAGGGCTACACTCAGGGATCAGAGTGTTTACACCTGCCTGACATCATCTGAAAGTGGGCCAGAGGCAAAACCTCTATCAAAGCATTTGTTGTATAGCTTCACTTTAAACCTCACATGCACATGTGAAGACAAACACACACACACACACACACACACACACACACACACACACACACATAACGTCTCTCTCTGCCTGACTCTGACACAAAGAAAACAACAGCTTATACTTGAAATATTGCACTGATCTCATATTTCTGAACGGGAGATAAACAAAAGATTGATGTAGGAGAAGGATTCTGTTTAACGGCTTTCAAATCATCTTGGCATTTTGCTTCATGCACAGTCTGATCTTTTGTTTTTGTCTTTTGTTCTGCACAGCACTCACTTTTTATTGAAACCTTCTGTGAGCATCTGTCTCTGACAAAAACCCAAGTGGAACCTCTTGAAATGTGTAAAATGCAGTTATCTCTAAAATGTGACTTTTGTCTTTCCAATTTGTCTTGTAGTAATACTTTTTCTGATACCGGGGGCAAGCTCTTTCAAAGTAAACGTCCCGACTCAACCTCATGGACACAAAGCCCAAGGTAGGATTGATGTGTGCTCTCCAAGTCCTCCGGGATCGTTTGAACGCAGGGCGCCGAGGGATTTGTCAGTCTAACGGGAGCTGACAGGAAGAGAATGAACTTTAACACTCACAGGCTGCTTTCCCTTTCATGAGCTTCCAGAGAAACCCTGTAGTGAATCAAATCCCTCTGCTGGGGGAAATACGCACAAAAAAAAATGCATACACATGGGCACTAACGTAGAGTCACACAGACGCTCACACATCTTATTCAATGTTACCCTCCCCCACTTGTCCCTACACATTCCCATTTAATCTGTCAAGCTGTTAAGAGTGACAAATGTGTTGAAGAAAGAAAAATCGAAAAGAATACATTCAGTACATACAGAGGCAGCTACACAAACTGTAACACACACAGACACACACTTCCTCCAATGACCTGAGAATAGAGGTCGTAGCTGAGGGCTCGTTGTTTCAGTGATTTCACGCTGTGTTGCTTTCAATCAGGGGCTGTAATGAAAGGTCTCATAACTCTAACGTTAATGGGACCCAAGGACTGTTAAACAGATGAATAGCTTGGTTTTGTAACTTTGAGTTAGGACCCAAAATGGCTTTCAAAGTCTTGCTCTGGTCAGTCTCCATGTGGTGAGTTAACAGGTATGTTGGAGGCTAAGGTGACATAACGTTCTCATTTGGGTCCTGATGAAAAGTTCAATAAACTCTGGCCTGAAGTGTTGCCTAAGAGCTTGTCTGTTTAATTATTTACCATTAACTGAGACTGCTGGAGGAACTCCCAAATTACCCAGAGTTAACTGCAGTTCAGGGCTTTTCCTGCAAAGGGGAATTTTTGACACTTTTAGTGGCAAGGTGAAAAAGAACATGAACTACTGAAAAATAAAAACATTCCCTTGAATTAGTTTCGGGGCACGAGACCATCTGATCGGCAGTGACCATACATAATGGAGGTCTGTAACTGGCTAAAAACAGCAGACATTTTGTTGATTGTGCTGGCAGATATGCCCCCTGAGATAATTGCCTGGCTATAACAGTGAGTTGGGCGAAAACTTTGTCCTAAAAGTTGGCAGCTTTCAGACCACAGCTTCTCTTTTGCCCAGTGATGAGTCTTGGTGCATTGGTTATATCTGATAAAAAAAAAGAAGCAGGCCAGTTGTGTAAACCCACCAGTCATGAGTGTATTATTTTTTATTTTTGTTTTTTTTTTCATTTAGAAAGCACAGTGCTGATATATGAATTTAAAATTAAATTAATTAAAACTTGCAGAAAACCTGAAAATGGTAAGTAGTATTCCACATCTTTGCAAATACAGTATGATGTCATCTTATCTTCTGTCCTCCTCTCTACAAAATATGTTTATATACTGCAGTTCCCCCAATGGCCACTTGAGGCTGTATTTTTATATAACTCATCTATTTACATTATATAATTAATATATATTATGCAATGGTATACCTTTTCCAGATGCATGAATGATTCCAGTTCATTCAGCCTGGCTGCATAACACTGACTCCCTGATATCTTTCCAGGAGTTTTTTTCTTTGTAGACCCAACACAATGAATCAAACAAATGGGATAATGTGGAGAAAGAGAGAACTTTAAGTAGACATGGTTGCATCTTGAAACTGGGAAAAGCAATTTCTCCAAATGGACTGTAAAATTAATAAAATGTTACAATAAAATAAACAAGAATATATTTCATCATAACATAACAATGAGGATGAAAACATTTTGTCAGGCACGACACAACACATGGAGCCAGTCCAGGCCCTCCCTCTATCCTTGTCCACTACGATTCTCTCGCACTCAGCAAGGCCAGGCGGTGGAAAGTGATGAAAAATAAAAACAGAATAAAATGATTATGATACACCATTGTTGCCAACTTGATGCAGGACCCAAGGTCTCAAGCCAAAGAGCAGCCTAATAAACACCACCATGCACCCTCCTCTCTGAGCTCATCATGCAGTGTCGTCTTCCTACTGCTGCCTCCATCAAAAACACAATTATACCCCTGCATACTACTGTAACTCCCAGTGTACAGCAGCCACTACGCCGCTGAGCCAGCTGAGCCAGACAGCCGTGCTCACACACTTCCAGACAGGCCAGAGAACATTTCTCTGGTTATACATAGACTGCTGGTGGTGGTTTTCCACAGGTCAGAGAGCAGACGGTCTGACTGAGCGGTATTAAATATCTGACACTATGAGGCTGCACAAACACAAACACATAAACTGCACGACTAGCGTAGCAGTCTTGGAGCTCAGCTGCCAACATACTGATGACAGCTTCTGAATAGAAACCAAGTAGTAGGAGCTATTTCTGTCCTCAGGCCACACATAAACACAGACTGGCTAATTACTTGATTTTACTGGTGGTTAATACAAGCACTAATATTTAAAGGACAAGTGTTATAGCAGTTGCAGACTGCCACTCCCTTGCTTCACCCCCAGAAAACGGCCCTCTAAAGAGATGTTTGGTTTGTCCGTTTTGGGCTAC